ATACTCTAGTTGATAAGCCAAATACTGAATTTGGTCGTTGTTCTTCTGTACATTGTCAATTCGGACCATCCTTACTGAACTGAGGTGACGCTTTTTGAGCGTTGCATGCGTAACCATCACCCGTCCAACAAAAATGGCCATGCAGATATACCCATGTACCACCTTTCATTCTTAGATGGCAATGGATCTCATTGTGTAACCTTACTATACAGTGCCTCTTATGAACGCAGTCACATTAACTGAGCATATATATATACATGCTCCTAACAAATCTGTCTTGAAAGTGTTTAGGCAATACATATCTTGGTGGCATCCATGAAATAGTGAATATGAGCCACATAATTTCAAATTTCTGTTATGTATGATATCAAGTAAAATATATCAGTATACGTCCTTCGTGAGGCCATAACGAAATTGACACACCCGTAACGGAATTAGCGCGTGCCGGAATTACTAAGAAAAAGTTTTAAGTTGTAATTATTTCAGGCGATTTAACGGATTGTGTTGTTGAAATGGTAAACAGGCAGTCAGTGCTACTCTGCAAAAGTGTCCTGCATATTGCGCAGTGGTTTAACGCGGTCAATTGCTAACTCTAGATCTTCGCTTTATTCGTTAAGTTGTGTTGTACTGTCACTGTACATCAAGTAGCAAATGAACCACAAGTCACACGCGACGTCGATCGTCGTCCAACCTCGATGATACTAGACTATTTCTTAAAATATCCTTGTCCTGACGAAATTAATGTTAAGTAATAGTTTTATCGACTAGTTTCTTCCTAAAATTGTTCTAAAGGTCTTTTTTTTGTCCTTTTCTAGACAGTCCAGTAGTCAGGTTTAGCACATGATTTCGTTATAGCATTAAACTACCGTATTCCTCATCAGTGTTTACAATTGTGTATACGGACCGATATTTTTAAAGATTATTTTTGAAGGTGAATTCATGTTTCTGCCAAAAGATATCATAACAGCTATTTACTGTGGGTTGACTAACCATGTGAAGTTTTTCTAAATTCTTTTAACGAAATTAGCACAATGAGTGCTGATGTCCTTGCGCCATGATAATATGAAACTTCTCCATTACATCGAGGAGAAGCCATGTTTTCCGTAGATCAAAGTACCAAACGTAGAAACATTTTGTCTAGGTAGGGTCGGGGGGAGGAAGTTAAGGTGTGAGGTGGGAGGCGGGAGAAGGGGGAGGCGAGGAAAAAGAGACGGGATGGTAACGCACTGAGACACTGAGACATTGCGTTTCTTTTTTTTTTTTAATCCGTTGCAACTGGAAAAAAAAACGCAAAACGTGTTGTGCGTGGCATATCTGTAAACTACATTTCCGAACTGAAAGATTCGGATCGAAGGCTGGGGAATGCTAGAGCAGTTTACCTCTAACATCAATGGACTGGGAACCAGACCCCCAGACAAGCCACAGGGAGCGAGGTCACGAACTTACGCTGCTCTTTGCGCCCTTTGAAATGTATTTCCATTTTGAAAACGGATACGACCCAAGCGATCTTGTTGTTTAAATTCGCCAAGAAAAGAAAGTGACAAAGGATATTGGATTAACGCAAAGAAGCCACTTTCTCGGTTTAATGGAAAATCTTGTTTGCCATTTCCATGAAATCCGAAACGTGGAGTCGAAAACCTCAATTCGTACAGGAATGTCAATGGAATTGATAAAGATGAAGATGTCCAACGAGGCCGAAAGCATTTTAAGTCATTTGAATGATCATAACCCGCCAAAGCCACCACAGCGGAAGAAACGACTGAGGAAAAAACTTTATAAATATCCCTGCAGTGTGAGTATGCAGCTTTCAATGTTATGCACTAGACGGGGTCAGGAGGAGGGGTCAAGCAAGGTTTGGGGATTTTGATATTTTCTGTCCAAATAATTTTCAAATATGCCACCCCAGTCTGGACACCGAAATTGGAAAAAAAATATCAAAATCCCTACACTGGGGCAAGTGAGTGTGGTCATTTATAACGAAGTGCCAAAATTCCCCATGCACCCTGGGGACATTACAAAAAATCAAAATACCTACCTTGGGGACTGCCCTCATAGTCAAATTTCCATGGCTAGCCAGACACCCCTCTTCTTCTTGGGCTTTATGTTGAAAGGTGCATTGAGAAAATGCCAATTAACTGAGAGAGGATGAGCTAAGCTTGCCATTGTATGAAGCATGAAATATAAAATTTTAGGTCAACTTCACTATCTGGTTCATAAAGTAATAGGCTCCAACATATATTCTACACCTATATAGAATGAATGTAGCACTATGATTTATAAATGTAAACAACAGACACCCATCTTGGTACTCAAAGGATTCAAACCCTGGAGGTGGTGGAGTCTGCACAGTGGTGTGAGAATGACATCTAGAACTACCTTTAAGATGTTGATATTGGCCCATTCGTTCATATGATAAGAAAATACTTTTTAAAATTATTGGACAAAGGTGAGCAAAACAATGTGCAGATCAATTTACCAAAGCGAAAGGCAGACTAGCATGGGTAAGGCATGAGTAACTGATCTGCAAGACACTAATATATCATGAAATTTTGTGATAAATTAGTCCTATCATTATTTTATCCTGGTGCATTCTTGCATGTGTTTTATGATTGCATAACTGTTTCCCCTTCTTTTGGATCATTGACCCCTTTGCAGCTAGTTAGCCTTCACATGACCCCCTTCTTAATGTTAAGAAACATAAAAGGCCTAATGTAAAGTCACTGAGTGGAGAGCGTGCCATTTTCTCCAGCCCCATGACTTCACATTTCCAAACAAATAATTTTAAATCTCTGAAGTTTAAAAACCTAATTAGTGATCATATAAAAGGACCTCTTGTTGCAGCGTTTAGATCACCCCTGATGAAGGCACTAGACAGGAGTGTAGAAACGTTGGGTCTATGAATTGTAACTTCTTCGGTTACATTCATTAAATGTGCAAACCAGAGTAGCGTCAAACTATGTCTGTTCAGAAACCTGTTAAGCATTATTCCTATTTTCCAACCCAGCCTATTTTAATTTCCTTTTGACTAATTTTCACCTGCTCTTTCAGCCTAAGACGGTTTTTTAGAATTGTATCCCATAATATCCCACCACCCTTATCCAACCACCATCCAGTACAGCTGGCGCAGTTGGTGGAGTATAGGCTAGACTACAGTGCATGTGGGAAATTTCATGTTGGAAACCCAGGCTAAAAAACTCACCAGGGTATTAAAATAACTGAAAAAAATGTTCTACTTCTGCATATACTGGTTAGATGTTCTATTCTTTTCTGATAAGGGTGGGTCAAATGACTCTGAAAACTCTGGGAAACAATCTGCAGCATTGCTGGAATATTTATGAGCACAGCTGTGTATGGGCATCTGGAATGTTATTTGCACAAAACAATGTTACATATGAATAGATCATTCTAATTGTAGAGAGATATTTGCAGGTCATATGTTGATGCTTGGCCTATCTAATGATGATCTCAACTAGCTGTCATTTTGCAATAACAAGCTAAGTAGTCATGATGATCTAAAATGAAATATTCACATATCTATTTTGCTATAATTTTATTTCCAGATTTGCCAGAAAGAATACAATAATCTTTCCAACCATTTGAAACATGCACAAAAGCTGAGTAAGAGTGAAGTTGAGGAGCTAAAGAGTGAAAAGAATCAGGGAAAGGCCAATGGAAATCAGGAAAATAGGTAATTTATTACATTTCTTATTGTTCAGTTCTGTTTTTCAGAGGATTGTGTTCATTGTAGTAACATAGATGAGTGTTTTCTCTACTGTACACAGCATTCTTGACTTTTTTCAATTCATGCTCATTTTGACACATTGCATTTTTCCTATATTTTCAGCAAAACCAAGAGGCCCACTAGATGTTGTCCACTACAGGGATGTACCTGGGTTGGACGACGCTTTGATTACCACCTACCAAAAGTACACAATATTGGCAAAGATTCTGAAAAGTACTTATCATTAATACACAAAAATGGCAAAATTTAATGTTTCTGGTTTTCTTTGTACAATCAAGCTTCTACAAGTGGTCTTTGTTAGAAAGTATGACATGCATGTAGCCTATTGTAATAGGTAATAAAAGTACTTTATACTGGATTTTGTATTCATTTGTAGACACACCACTTGGACCACTGAAAATGATCAACAAATTAGCAAACAAACTTCTAGGCTAATCATTATCTATAGTTTGATAATAGTAACAATTTAAGAACTACAATTTAGGATTCTCTGTATGTCAGCTGGCTATAAAATTTGGCTTTCCAACAGGTTCTTAGAAAAGGTATATTAAATTAAAGGTTCCTGAGTTCCTGTCTTCTTTCTACATATATAGCAGTACTTACATATAATTTGGGTGAAGTCATTCGCATAGCATAGTCTATATATGATGGTGAATGATAATGATTTCAATTATTTGATTGGATAATGAATTCATGAGCTTTGAGTTTTGGTATTTTACACTGTTGGATGGACTGTTAATTTTTTTGTTTCATGGATCTTAGTCTTGTGCCCACACTGAAAATTACATATTGTTAAATTTTAAATAATAGAGCTACTTCTTAAGGCAGCAAATATTGCATTGTTAAATACTTCAGGTATATTAAAATACTGGTCATCTGAAATTTCCATCCCCTGCAAAAAATATAATGGTCCATAGGGTCCATTTTTGACCAAGTTGGCAATAGTAACATAATCCTGATGATTGTTCAGTAATTTGTAGTTGGATTGGCCTTGTAAGTCAAGCCAGTACCCTTCTAGCTTGTAAGTAAATGAAGCTTTGACTAGTTTTGATGGATTCTGGATAGTGTAGAAAAGCCAGAATTTCTCATCTCAGGGTTCGAATTTAACTTTTTTCTAAGGGAGCCAACTGGCGACTAACCTAAAAATTTTGGTCGCCAAATGGAAGGATTTGATTACTTAGTTAACTAGCTAATGTAAAAGCGGCATGTTACAGTCAATTGGTATCCCCGTTGGGATACAGAGTTCCACGGATCTGCTTCACTTCAGTGAAGACCTCTGGAAATGTGGCCTCCTCAGCCTTTCGCCTGCATCCCTGTTCCTTGCCAACCATTTATTGACGCTAGGTGTGGGGTCAAATTCGGCTGCTGGAGGCCCCTCTGCTGAAATGCGAATCAAATCTTCCAACGTAGACACGGCGAGGTTAACTCGTACGCTGCTCTTGATTCGGTTTTGGGCTGAAATCGCCCTTTCACACTGCGCGGCAGAAATTGGCTGAACAAGGAGGATTTCCACAAGATGGAGAACATTTTCGAAGTCGTCCTTGTAGGGCGTCTTGATGAGCAGGGTCTCCCACAAACTGGCATAGTCCTTGTCTCTAAAGCTAGTATTGACGAGAACCTTAAGAGAGAATCACTCTTCGGGAATGGAAGAAACATCACATCCAGCCTTCTGCAGTAATGGTTGAAACCAGTCGACAAGGCGTTCAATTTTCTCGTTGCCAAAATCGACCAGTTCCTTTGTGCTTTTTGGCCAAGCATCAACATTGAAGACAAGGAGATCGTTGATGACGTCCGCTGTTCCTTACTTTGTGGTGGATTCCGAGTTGGAGGCTGAATTCATCAGTGAACCAAACCTCTCTTCAAGCCCAGTCAGGCACAACCCAATGGCTTCGTTCACTCTCGACTGAAAGCTGCCAGTGCGTACATCTCCTCTCTTTGGTTTGTCATCGAGCGACCCTCTCAGTGTAATGCCTTGAAATCGAAGCTCATCCTTGACTCCAGAATGCTGAACGTTTTCGCCCGCGATATCAAAATTGGGAGAAGCCGCGGAAACAATATGGCGCCGGGTAAATATGGTGATCGTAAGATCGTCGCTTTGTTTTACTACAATTGTCCACGGCAGCTTTATGTTTTCTCCTAAAAAAGGCCCATTTACCTTGGAATCTCAAATGCCGAGGGGAAAAAAGGTTAGTCGCCTGCTGGCGACCAGTTCTAAATTTCTGGTCGCCAACGCTCAATTTTTGGTCGCATTGGCGACCAGTCAGTCGCAATGTCGGACCCTGCATCTTCTGACTCAGTAAACACTGTGACAATAAGCCCTTGTGCTTCTGTGGAGTGTTGAACATTAGCACCAACAGCAAGCCATGCATCATCTTCAAAATAAAAACTATATTCATTTGATCTTAGTCTCTCTTCCTGGTCAAGTCTCAACTCCACAACCTCCACATCTTGTTCTTTGATCTTGTCAGACAGTCTAACTACCCTTTCTGCACATTGTCTGTCCACTATCCTGGACAGAAGAGTGACTACTGTGTCAGGCTGAGTTGGAGAGGGAATAAAATCCCTGTTGCTTTGCAAGTTTACATTTGCATTACTGGTAATCACGAATTTAATTTCGCTTTTTTTCTCCATTATGGCCTGGAGTTGTTTAGTGCCATAATAGAAGGGTTTCTTAAAGAAAATGCCATCTGGGAGATTTTCTACTGTAAAACCCCCACATAGATACGGCACCCTGCTGCCTGGTTTCTTTATTGCTTCACCTATTGTGAAAGAGAAAGAGAAACATTGATTGGTAATGATAATAGCACTGAGTGGAGTACAATTCAGGAAGTAATTGGGCAAGTAATGAGCCTGATTACCCCTGAAATGTATGACAGTAAGTCTTATTGACCATTTCCACATGTCCCATATGACACTTTCTTTGCCAAAATGTGAGACACAAGGTAAGAATAAGTAATTCAATTTCATTAGCTAGTGGCATTTTCTACTGGATTTTTATTGGCTGCATAACTGTCAGATTTGACCTGTACAGTTAAAAGCAGCTGTAATCACAGGCCAAATTGGACAGTTTTCTTATTACAGTATTCAGATTAAGGATCAAATATTCACTGTTCAGAACCAATCAGGTTTGAGGATTTTGTTATAGACATCATCAGCTTTGTTGTTATTATCATAGCTAATAATAATTAATAGTTTCCTCGGCAATCAAAGATATTGCATCAACTAAAAATGGAAATAAATTAATCAACAACTCTATTATGGTGTCAAAGGTTAAAAGTAGCTGAGGATGAAAACCCTTTTGGGTTGCAACATAGAGCTCTGTCAGACCCCCACCCCTGAAAGTACCCCCCCTGGGGTTTAGACACAGTTTAACAAGACCACTGTCCATTATTGATTTAAATCTGGTATCCTGGCACCAAAATAAAATAAATGTCCAGCAGGCACAGTTAGCAGAGAAAACCACAATATTCATTTCTTAGAAATAATAGACCAGTAGAGGTTTATTAATGATACCCATAGGCGTATGGGCACCTTTGGACTTGAAAATTTTTTTAAACTGGGGGGGGGGGTTTGCCCCAGGACTGTACACCTCTAATGTTACCCTATATTTTAGCCATGGTCTATAATAGTTATAATGCATATAAATAATCTGTCCTTAGTGTTTGAAAACACATTTAAAAACATTTCAAATGTATTACATTAAAATAAAGTATTTCAAAATGCCTTAAGCTACACTAGAAACCCTTCCCTTTTTGCTCTCTTTCCCTGCCTGGCCCTATAGAGGCCCAGCAAGGGTAAATTCCTACAGGGGACATGACCCAAAAAGTAGCTGTGGCATATATATGAAAGTATGAAAAAATTAAGATCTTGTTCACCAAAATTCCGACAACAACAACAAGGTGGAGAAATAAAGACAAAATAATGACACCATAGGTTTTTATATTCAGACAAGCAACACAGGGAACCCCCTGGCAGGGCCTGACCCTATAATACCCATGCAAGCTGCTCACAGAAACTCTGAGCTTGTATACAGAGCAAATTTTCAATCCAGTACAGAATGATTGGCTGGCAACAAATCAATAAAGGTAGATCTTCTTGGTATGTACATGTATGTCGAATGGATGATGTGATTATAACATTTAACAGCTCTAGATTGAGGATACCTAAACTTCGAACCAGGATTCGATCGTTAGCTATGGTTACCTATTATTAACACTTTGATTAGCCTACTTTTCAGCTCCAATTAGCCAAACTTGTATTCTGGTTAGCCTCAGAGCACTCAGGTTGGCCTAACTAGCTCTTCTGTTGGCCTACAGAGCACTCGGGTTAGCCCACTTTTAACTAAGGTTGCTTGCGGTTAGCTCTCAATATTTGTAATGGTAACACAATATATATTCTTAAATTTATAATAACGGATGAATAAACACATATCTTCTTTTACCGGCATATTCTTGATCATTGATTATACTGCACACTGCAAGCGTATTTTCGAGCATAAAACTGCATAAAGCAATTATTTTCAAAAAAAAAAGTAAGCCTACTTTAATTAACGAGGGAAATAATTACCACAAGGCCTCATTATGAATAGTACAATCGTACAGTTAACTTCCTTGACCACGGTATATGGCGGATGAAATTCTGTTTAAGAATCAATCCTTTAAAAAGATTCGTTTATGCAGCACACAGAGTAAGGGAATTAATTCTATAGGACAATATACCGCTACATCATTTACATATGTCGGTGTGCTTTGAAGAAAGAAGCGCTCACCATAATGATCGCTATTATTATTCAACGAGATGCAAATAAGTGGCGGGGTATTCCACATACATGAAACATGGTAGTGTTTCAGTCCAACTAAAAAATATCTTACCTTTACTTGATCAATAGTCAGCCCAGTTTCCTCGGCTGCCACTCCAATTTTTTTCCGTATTATCAGAACCGCATGTTTTCATGCCGCCGTCATAATATTCTTGTAGTTTTGACCTTTGTACATCGCTTATTTTATTATATGTTCTTTTGCGAGCTCTACTTGTATCCTTGTCGGTCATAGTAACGAAGAAGCTCCAAAAGTACACGACAAAGCCGATAATACCTGAACTTCTAAACCAAGAAAAGCTAGCGAGTTCGTAACTATTGCAATCGGTAAAGGATTTCCCCCTACGCATCCGAAGTGAAGGGAGTTGATTGGTCGAAATGTTTATGCATATTTAATGAGCTACTAGGAAGACTTAGATGATCATTTGAGACGGCTTGAACCCAATGATCTAAATTTAGATTATATGGGTGTTAGCCATTTAGATTGTGTAAGTAGGGTGCCAGAGAAGTTCGATGTGTTCAGAGCCACATTGAACCTTTGGTGTGTAATGTACGCGATTTTACACAATGATATGCAACATCTACCAGAAATAAACAACGGTTAGGAGGTGCGAGCTAGAGTGCTTTTGAGTCAAGGGATATTCAATGAAACTTTTGTTGTGTATTGAAATTAGTTGGCCATCGTTTTGGGTTGTTATCATAGAAAAACCTACATGTCTCTTTGGAAGATGATTTCCAGTCCGTATGGCGTACAGCGCAATCTCAGGGTTTTTTGTCGTTAAACGTTACACTTCGGTAATAGTGCACATGAGGTTTCTGGATCCGTCATTAAGTTCTTGACATTCGACATTCGATGCACTGAAATGTCGGTCTGGGAGAAGGTCGAGGTTCTTCCTCTCGTTTTTGTTCGGTAAAGATTCTTAGAGTCAATAATAAAGGGAAAGGCAGGTTTTTCCCTCAATTTTTATAGTGGCGAACAAACATTCCTTCGTGTGTCTTCGCAAACATTGAGAGCTGAGACTGAGAATTGAGTATTCTTTAAAAGTGTTTCTCTCCATTTTTAATTATAAATGTACGTTAACACTCCAACGATGTGAAACTTCGGCTTTGAAAATCGAGTACACTGGCCAACGCGGCGGCCATCTTTTGAAATATTTTTGTTCGAGTGGAAATGAATTGTGATTGGTTTACGAGGATTTACTGATCTAATTTGACCAATAAAAAATATTGAGTATACCATAAACTTTCTGACGAGCCCTTCCATTCTAAAGAACAAGTTTCCTCACAAAAAAAAAAGAAAGGAAGGTCAAGTTCACCTGTTTGCTGTTAAGGATATTGAGGATTTTTTGTGAAATGGAAGTATAGCTGAGGTCATTACTTCTGGCTAAAGGACCAGTAATTAGTTATAGCCTTGCCTCATCCCCCATACTGCTCTGCCCGATCAGTGGTAGTTAATTGGTAGTCGATCAATATCAGCATCTGGGCAACTGCCCACCTACCCCTCCCCTAACTTGTTATTGTTATCAATTGACTGTTGTTGAGTTAGGGGAGGGGTAGGTGGGCAGTCGCCCAGATACTGATATTGATCCGTCTATTTTTCTTCAATCTCCCTCCTCTCTCCCTCTTTCTTTCTACCCTTCATTCCCTCTGAAAACCATCTGATCCTCCCAAAACTCCTCGAACGACCCTACCCCTGGCGATATATGATGGTCTCTAAATGTCACTGACTTTTCTATGGCATTTATTATATTTCTCACACACTTTCAGTCTTTTATATCTTGAAATAGAGAATAATTATTGAAATTCTGGAAACTTTTGCTAAATTAAAAGATAACAGTGATAACCTCAAAAATAAAAGAAAAGAATTTTTCTTGAGGCTGCATAGCACACGAAAGAAACCGTATTGAAATTACGAATGTCTCGTAACCAGACCCTCTCGCCACAAGTCGAAGGTTCTTGTAGCAAAACTAGTCTCAACTAATCCTAGAGGTTACAAAGCAGCATGTTGTTTCCTGTATTTTTCTTCATGTTTTGTGGTACGCCAGCCAGTCGTTTATAAGAGTCGTTAATAAGTGACAAATTAGCTCAGTTGGTCGAGGATTGCGTCACATCTCAGTATGATCAACCCTTTCTCTTTTCCACTGCATCTTTGTCTTCTTCTCCCTCTTCTTCTTCTTCTTCTTCCTTTGGATCTCCTTTAACTTACTCGGGTAGCTTTTTCAAGTTAAATACTTCCCAGGAACATCCTGGATTTTCAGGAAATAAATTTACTTTTTCAGCTGTTAAAGAGTCTTGCTCAAGAATCTTTTGGAGGATTTCAACAGAAGTTTGTTGCGTATGCATTTCACCTGGTTCGTTGACATTGTTGCCGATCACTGCAAAACTTTCTAATGTATTTTTTAAAAAAAATGTGAGACAGCATCCGGCAGTCCACAGTGACTTGGGAACATGTATTTCATGGTAATTATCTTCCCCAGGCAGCGTTTCTATTTCATCGCCTTTGCTTACTCCTTAAACGTTTCCATTTTTATCTATCTTTACCTCAGCATCAACAGAAACAAATGCGGTGCCACTTAAAAGATAGAGAATTCCGAAGTTCTGTTTAGTGCACACTTCTGCATACTTTCGCATTCTTCTCTCAAACTTGGACCATTCACCAGCATTAAAAGATGGACGCTGGGGCACGGCGTTCGTGTATCTAAAAGTAGAACGAAAGGCCCCTTTCTCACTTGATAAAGTGTGTGCTGGGGCCAGGTGGCCTCTTTGCCAAGGTGCCTGTGGGTATGTGTGTTCTCCGACTTGGTTCCTGATACCTTTAAAAAGCGAAAAAACGGTAGTTGATTTAATGTCCTCTGTTTACCACAATATTAAATGAAGTTGAATAAATTCAGAATGAAAACTTCTTTGTTTCATCAATAAAGCTTCCTTAGTCGGTTGAACTCAACTTTATGAAAATTGTTCACTTTTGATGAAGTTCAGCAAATCACAGGAATTAAATTTCCGCTATATTCTAGTTGCGTTCAGTTTTCGTAAGTTAATTGTGGGATTTGTTTCAAATCAATAACCTGCCATCATCATCATCATCATTATCATCACCATCATGCTATTTTCATCAAAATGCAAGTCCACAATTCAAGATTATTTAAGGCTTGATTAATTGCCGATTTTTAGCTTTCTAATAATTCAGGGCAAATTTTCTCTTGTAGCGATGAAATTATCACCTGTACTCACTGTGCATGCGGTTTTTCTATGTGACTGAATAGGACGAGATTGCCTGAACGTCCCGTGGGGAAACTAGTTTTCAGTATGGAAAAAACCATATGAGATTAAAACCTAGGACCACGTCTTAGCTACGTCTTTGTGTTTGCTCGTGTTTTTCGTGTTTTGCTTGGTTTCGTTTTCACGTTCTTGTAGCTTTTGCTAATTAGCCTTGTCTTGTTGGTTTCTTTTTTTTTTCACATTTTAGGTCTTATTTTGCATATTTTGGCTTGGTCAGTTAAGTTTCGTTAGTCATCACCATCATTTTATCTCCATGGTTTAAATTTGACAAATTAGATAAATATGCAACCAGAATTTAGTAAAGCGGTTTTTGTTACTTACAATCAAATGTACCAAAATGGATCAAAATGAAATTAATAGGCATACATATACATTCACAGATAGCCAGATTAGTATGAGTAGAGTAAGAGTCCATAAGATGACATAGAACATAAGGAAGTAATAATAGTAGCTAGAGTGTGAGTAATGATAATAGGTAATTTTTTAGATTAACGCTGAGACATCAACATAACCATGCTCATCACCAGGCACCGCAGAGAGTAATTGGTGACTTTATAATTCCGCGCCTTTTGAATCCATAGTGTAATAGTGGCACGTTTTGGTCACAATCATCTTTTAACCGCTTTGCGTTGCTTCGCTTCGTTTCACTTTGTTTTGTATCGATTCGTTTGTTTCGTATAGTAGATAAAATAAATTATTGCCTCTCAATGCTTCCTTTATTTACCCTGTGGGGCGCAAGCTGAAGAGACCCAATCGTGATAGACGGGCCGGCAGTTGAATGGAGCCCTCCCCCCTCAATTGGTGTTTATTAATTATTTTTCGGTATACCTTTATTTTCTTGCCATTTTGGGCGACACCTCTTTTGATAATCTGTGTTTTCTGATTTGAGTCTGTAGGCTGAATATACTGGAATTCCCAAATCTTGATCGAAAAGCGTTGTGTAGTGGGTTTCTTTGCCCTCTTTGAATTCGTTTCTGCTTTTCTGTTGGCAAATGAGGACTATTCCTCCTAGGTTCTGACGTAAACCCACTGGCGGTGTTCTTTTAGGAAAGAACTCTTTGCCATGAGTGTTCTAGCAATCTTTTTGGACACTTTTACGAAATCCTGGCTCATCGTGTGCCCTTTTTAAGTTGTTCCCAATGAGAAACCGGCCGTTCATCGTACCTAAAAATGTAAAGAAAATGTTATTCTAGAAAGGTCCTTCCTATATTTGTTATAAAGAAGTTCTTGCAGTCTTTGAAAAATAAACAGAATCTTGTATTTCACCGTTTTTGTTTTCCATCTGGTATGGGCCCCCTTCCACCACGATGAACTCTACCAGTCCGAATATTAGCAGGAAGAGCAAAGTCTTCTCGAGTATTGCGTCCATCTCAGCCGTGAATCTAATTCAGGCAAGGCATAGTCTTCGCAAGTTGACGAAAACGAATGGAATAGTTAACAAGTAACAATCTTTTTATGGACAAAACCTTTTGGTAGACTTTTGCCGGTTGAATGGATGGTCCAGTCACATGGCGGAGTAATAATTATCTCGCTACACAGAGTGCACTTAACTAATATTTTAGATATTGGGAGAAATTTTCTACTGTCCAAGTTATGGCTCCGCCCTTAAAAGGGCTTTTAACACCTCATATTTTAAACATTTGCTCATGTTTAATTCATTACCTCAGTCAATTACGATTTCGATCTAACTTCTCTAAGCTCTTCGCTCTTGTAGAAAAAATATAAAATAAGAGAAACAAGAAAAAAATTTTCACGATAGGAGTGTCAAACCTGTTTCACACAAACATATTGTTGTGTTTCTTACCAGGATCCTACTGTCACATTTTCATTTTTGCTTTTTGTTCTATTTCTGGGTCTTGCAAAAAAGTGTATTTGTATTTACATGTAAGGTTTGTTTCATCTAAAGTTGCTGAGGTTTTCATTAAGGTTAACTGTTAGCCCTAAAACGGCCAAATAAGGTTAATTAGTCGTTATGCGTTAAGAATTGACAAATTTTAACCGTTGCTAGTAAAAAATCCTTTACAAACAGTAACAGAAAGAAATCAAGCGATATCCATAAGACGCACCAAATTTTGACCCTTAGGCGTAAAAGCCATCACCCCATTCAGAACCTGTTCCCTGAGAAGTCCGAGAAATATTTCAATTTTTTTAAGTTAACAGGTACTCGGTCTATTTCATAGATTCTGATATATCCTTAAAATATCTATCTAATGGAGGTTGAGCTGAAAAAAATTTCATTGCATGAACTGGAAATAATTACAAACTGTAAATATTAACCTAGATGCCTCAAATGTAAAGATTGTCTCTGATAAACTCTTATCGCCAACGTTCGGTACAAAGCTGAGTGCCAGGGAAAAATAATATTGCATAGATTTAGGAACTTTAGATACTAGACCAAGCTACCTTTCAAGGTATTTATTTTGATTACTATAAAAACTGAAAAATTCCACTCTACGATCCTATGATGGCCACCTTGCCACTTTTTAAAATTGCTTGTAGAAAATATTAGTTATCTACAAAATCCTTTGTGACAAAGTTTTAAGTAGCCGACATTTTCTCCGATAATGTGTTTTAGTTTCGTTTCATTGTTTTGCGTTAAGTCACGCTGTCTAATTACTACGACTCCGAAAATGACCTCCTGAATTACGACGACCTCCTTAGATCTATTGAGAGAGTCTCAATGGGATAACGGCTTTTACGGCTTATGGTTAACATTTTGGCCAAGTTACGGCTAATGGCAAGAAAAATGTTTTGCGTCGTGGTTTCCTTAAGCTCCCAAATGGTTAAGCAATGAAGCCTGTTAACAATTTGTGCTCATTTCTGGAAGGTTCATTTTATTTTCGGATATTAATAAATAAATAAGCTTTCAAGATCATGTAGTCCTTTTTTCAATTTCCTTGAGATAATCTAACCAATGGTTAACAAATAACAATGGCTCAGCGATGACATCTGGCAACAGTTTGTGCTAATTTTGTTTTCCTTTGGAATAGGTGTTGTACTGAACAAGAAATTAATTGAAAGATGTATATAAATGACCTTCGTGCGAAAACTGGATCATCGCCTTTTAGCGTTTCACTGAATCTCACGCTTATCGATAAGAAAACTCTTGTAATATGTCAAAATGGCATTGTGTAGTTCCTCATGAAGCTCTGGGAATCACCCGATTCATAATCAGAAAATGAAAGAGTTTCGATCATCTATTAAGTATCACTCTGCAAAGGTGGAAGTTCAGTGACATCAGCAAGTTCCCTGAGAAAATACTCTGTCATAATATAACCATACATAAATACTTGCGAGTTGGAAATCCTTTTCGTTTTATTCAAACGGCTTCCTTTGTCCGTTGATGAAGTCGAAAATCGAAGTTAATAAATTATGAGGAATAATTCGTTTAGAAATTTATTTAGACTCCAATATCTGAAGGTAAGTGTTGACATAAACGATTTGTGAATTAAGTGAGCTGACTTTGTTTTGTATAACCAACGATAAACATAATTTCACCTCTTTTTAGTGTTATTTGTTTAACGAGCCAAGTCAAAGGTTGAAATTGCATGACAACCTGCTCCTAATTGAATTAAAGATTTCTAAACATGACCGCTGGAATCTCACTTTTATGAGAATAACGAAGGAAATGTTTCGTTTATGGAACAAAGGACTTTCACTTTAACTCAAGAGGGGAATTCGTTTCCAAAAAAATGTCTAAATCGATATCTAAACTTTTAAAGAATGTCAATAGCATTTTTAAATTATAATTGGATGAACCTTGATCTGTAAGTCCCTTAATTAAGAAGTTTTAACTGTACCAAGTGAATTTAGCGTTTACCTGCTGCGGTGTTGTGCTACGGGTGGGTAATTTTTTTTTGTTTCGTGTTAAGACTTATTTAACTGAGTGCTCCAGATATGTCAAAGTTTGGATCGCGGAGATTTTAGACTTCTAATGGCAGTTTTCATGATTGAGTTGTACATTTTATTTCACCCAATAACGATAGCTTTGTCGAATTTTCATTCATGAGAGAGTCAATGAGTCAATTCAGTTCATTTGGCGAGCAGATATTCATGGATACTTGTCCGTACTCATTGCCTGTTTACAGATACAAAAAGTATTTCGAGAGCGAAGCTTAAGGAAAACTGTAAGTTTCGAGGAACGGATGATGTCTAAGGACAAATATGCTAGCATATTTTTGCGCCTAATCAAGGCTATTGTGTTTTTTATCCTTAAATTATTTTTGCAACGCAATAAACAAATATTTCGCTATTGCTTGCTAATTTGGGGACCCAAAAAGTTACATGCCACTGTCTTAGATGTCGCACCTGCCACGTAGTAAACGCGCGAAAAATTGAAACTGGAGGTGAAATTGCTTTTGCACTGTGCCCGCGTAACTTGTGCGTGTGTGTGTGCGGTGAGCGTCGCTTAATACCAAACAAAGGGAATAAGAAGAAAAAGCATTCGACGCATTCTTGACTTCTTGTTCTCTGTTTGAAAAAACGCTTACAGATGTACACTATTTAGCCATTGCAGAGAGGGCGCTCTGGGCAGATTGAAATTAAAAGGACAATCCCAGAACGGTTCGATATGTTCAGAGCTGCATTAAACCTTTTGCGTGTAAAAATTAAAGTACGTGATTTTACACAATGATATTCGATAGATATGCTAGAAATAACCAATGGTTAAGAGGTGCGGGCTAGAATACTTTTGAGTCAAAGGATTTTCAATAAAATTCTTGTTGAGTGTTGAAACTGGTTAGCTATCGCGTTGGGCAGTTATCATAAAAAACCTGCATTCCCTGTGGAAGATGTTTTCCAGTCCGTATAGCGTACTGCGCAATCTCAGGGTTTGTTTTCGTTATACGTGACACTTCGGTAATAGTGTACATGAAGTTTCTGGATCAGCCATTAAAATTACATGCTTACATGCTTAAATTACACTTTTTACGTTCGAGATTCGATGGACTGTGATGTCGGTTTCGATGAACGTCGAGGGTCTTCCTCTCGTTTTTGTTCAGCAAAGATACTTGAGGTCAATAATGAAGAGAAAGGTAGGTTTGTCCCTGAAGTTTTATTTTGGCGAGCAAACACTTCTTCGTGTATCTTCGTAAACATTGAGAACCGAGACTGTGAATTGAGTATTCTTTAAACCTGTTTCTTTCTATTTTTAATCTTTTAAATGTACGTTAACACTACAATGATGCGAAACTTTGGATTTGAAAATCGAATACACTAGCCACGCGGCGGCCATCTTTTAAAATATTCTTGTTTGAGTGGAAATGGATTGTGATTGGTTAACGACGATTTATCGATTTATTTTGTCTGAACAATTTTGTTCCGAAATCGAGATATAGCGTGCAAAACAGGTTGCGAGCTTTTCTTGAGCCTGCAATAAAAATGGCATTCTCAGAGCAGTAGTTAGAATCGTATAGCTTAAGTTCAGGATCCTTTAGTAGTCTGTGAGGCGCAGCAATTGTCAGTATCATAGAAAGGAAAGATATTGAGTAAACCAAAAACTTTCTGACTAGCCCTTTCATCCTAAAGAACAAGATTCCTCACAAAAAGGGAAGGAAGGTCAAGTTCACCTGTTTGCTGTAAAAATGTTGAAAATATTTGTCAAATGAACGTTGCTCAGGTTTTCAATGGAGTTAACTGTTAGCCGTAAAACGGCCAAATAAGGTTAATTAGCCTTTATGTGGTAAGGATTGAGAAATTTTGACCTTTTGTTGTTCAAAAAATTAATGGTAAAACCTTTTTTCCCAACCGTAACAGAGAGAAATCAACTGCTATCCGTAAAATGCACCAAATTTTAACCCTTAGGTGTAAAAGCCATCACCCCATTCAGAACCTGTTCCTTGAGAAGTCTGAGAAATATTTCAAGTTTTCAAAGTTAACAGGTACTTAATCTATTTCTTATATATCTAATCCATTATATCTAATGGAGGTTGAGATAAAAAAAAATTTAAAAAAAACTGGAAATAATTGCAAACTGTAGATGATAACCCATATGTCTTAAATATAAAAAAATTGTCTCTGCTAAACTCTCAACGCCAACATTTGGTACAAAGCTGAGTG